AAGAAATTTTACGTGGGAAAATCGAGTTATTGTCAAATCTGATGACTAATTCGGTGACAAATCGTATTTTATTCCAAAAGAAAGAATAATCTAAAATGGTAAATTCTTTCAATTTAAAGTGAATTCAAAGAGAATTAATCTAGAACATTAATGTATACATATATTAGAATAATAGATTTATAAATTATAATTTTAAACATATTTTAATTTATAATTTATTAAAAATAAATTAGAAATTTAAACTAATTAATCTAAAAAAAATTAAAATTATAAAAAGTAAAAATCGGTAATATAAATTTTTATTATAGATTTTCAAGAACATCTTATATTATACAACTTTTTAGTTCAAAGATTAACTACAGCCTCGAATACTTCTTTTTTTTTTTTCTATAAAGCTATTTTATATTAAAAAACCCTGCCTATATTTTTCCGTTTTCTCATCCCTCGATCTCTTCCCTTTTACCACTCACGAAATACATGTGTATTATCTAGGACACCTGCGACGAACTGCGAAGTTTTCAATATTCTACCATTAGCATCCTACATGTCTCCCCTAACACTTGCTCGCGTTTCTCTAATTTAAACAACCAGTGATCGATTTTCGAGTGTTTACTTGTCAAATTACGTTTACTCAAACGTATAGCAGCGGTCTTCGACACTTTAGTGTTACCTTATTATAAATAAATTACATTACGATTCTGCATATTCTATATTTGAATATACATATATGATAATTATAAAATTCAAATATTTTAATATATTATGCATCGTGTTTATTTTTTTTATATATTCAAGTTTCATAAATTTTTTTTAACTCAAATTTTTTTCTATATACTTAAAAATAAAGTACCTTTTAGCATATATTATTAATTATATCGTTGTAATTAATTATACCGTTAAATAAAAAAGTTATCAAAATTAATTTATATAATATTATTCGTAATTAAATTATTTTTTTAATTAGGAATTATAATTTTTTAAAAGATTACATACACGTATACATAAATTCACACGGAATTATTATAGCCTAAGATCCAGCTCGACCGTTAAAAGCTATTTCTTATTGGTTGTGTTTCTCACATATACGGTCCTATAAGATTTAATATTTAAATATTATTTTTTTTAATGTTCTTAATAATTAATTCTCTATTAAAGTTTACTTGAAATAATCCAGCAAACGAAATCTAGGACAATCCGTATTATTCATAAATTATCGTTGTGAGGAAATTAGGGAGACCGGTGCGATGCTTGACTAATATATATGAAATGACTCATCCTCGCTATCTCGAGAGAGTGGATTATCCGCGAAATAGAAATAGATCGCAATGGGCCGACTGGCTAGCCAAAGACGCCATGCCGGTTCCGGTTTAAACTTCAGTTTAGCCGACTCTTTTAATCATCAAAACAATGTTGACGATCGAAGGATAGTGCGAAGACGAGAATCAGCCCGATTCTACCACACGCGATCAAATATTATATATGCATATTAAAGAAACCTTTTCGGCAAAAAATATTAACATTGTCGATTTAAATGCTCACAATCAAATGAGATTGCCCACAATCAACCCAAAAAGAACCCAACAAAAGAAAAAAGAGATTTCAAATTCAAGTAATCAAATTCTGATTTTTCTTTTACATATTCTAAAAGAAAAATTTTTTAAATAAACTTTCAATTTTTTATATTGATATTTAAAATCTATTTTAAATCTCTGGTAATTTATTTTTAGATTTTTTTTTAATAAATAAAGATTGATTAAAGAACTGATATGACAGTTTAAAAAAGAAAGAATGAATTGTATCTTCGCATGCACATACATTGGTACATATAATGTTGCAAGCCGATTTATGCAATCATCGGGCTTCCGGTTTACGTAGCTAACGAAGAACGTTTCATTTTGTACGCTATCGTAGGAGTGTGTACGAGTTGTAAACCGACGACGAGTTGCAAGTCGCGTGCTGAGCGTGGTCCCGAAAGGAAAACACACGTGATTCTCGAATCGGTTACAAGCTGTTTCACAAATCGCTGAAGGCACAATGAAATCAATAAAACAATAAGAAAATAAATCAAATATACGTTTAACGTCAAACCTAAAATTTAATATGTTTCAAAATTGAATATTTAATAATAATTATATACATATTTCAAAAAGTTTTATACTTTATTGAAATTATAGTTTAAATTCTTTGTTTTATATATTAAAATTATTATAACAAAAAATATTTTTAATATTAAAAAATTTTTTTAAACAAAATGACGACTGATCGATTTACGTTATTTTTCCTCGATGGATTATCTTTACTTATCATTTACATGAATCACCCTATACACATGGCGCGTGTGTTCGACTTGCTTTAATTATAGACTAGAGCCCTTCTCCTTTCCTTAGCGTCCACCCTCGACACCGCGAAATTGGAAAGGCGACGTCTACAAGGCTGACTACAGACTCGTTTCTGCAGTACGCGTACACTCGATTGAGGGTAAGAACGAAACTCGAGAAAAGACTTCGGAAAGCTTTACGTCACCTCAAAGTACCATACTCTAAAGTAATATGGAATACTTAGCAAAGCAAATACTACACCTATATTAAAAATTATGCACAAAGTTTCCTGGCCCAGTAAACTATAGAGTTTCTGTCAAGAACTAAAAAGTGACACAACACTGTTCAACTATCAAGAATGAAATTAAATTCTACTGTCATTTTATAGAATGTTTTTATATATTATTTTATATAACCATACTTTATAATCACAATAACATTATATTATTTATTCATATAATTTCTCTAAATTTTATTGCTTCCCAATTTTTAAATAGTTTTATCTAACTTCTAAAGAAACGAATTTACTTGTATTATAAGTATAATAAACTGAGAGCAGAATGGAAAAACGTGAATGCTTCTAATTTTTAATTCGTCAATATTTACTATGTGAGAATATTTACTACGTTTGAATGGAAAGAAAAGAGAAAAGAATGAGAAAAAAGAAAAACGAGAGAACATTGTGTTTTATGGATTTCGAGTGCATCTCGTCGGGAAAACGAGACACGTCACATCCGGATGGATGGATCGAAATGCGTAGTCGAGTTATACTATCTCTCTTCCTCTCCCTCCCCCCCTCCCCCCTCTCTCTCTCTCTGTTTCTCGTAGGATGATGCCACCTTATGTTTCCAATTTGCATAATCCTGAGTCAACGTGCGATGTTCTTCCTTAGGGGATACAAGTTGAAAGACTGTCAGTGAGATAGAGTCCTTATAATGTTATAGAAAAAGAGAAGATAGACATAACATTTCAAAATTCTATCGGATATTCTCTTTCGCAAGTGTTAAAGTATAAAAAGGTAATTCAATTTTTTCATCTTTAAATACTAAAATAATTAATTGTGAAAAAAGGTTATTTATCTATAATACCTATATTTCATTTCTCAAATTATGATGTTAATTTTATTCTTCATTAAGCAATAAATTATTTAACAAGCTCAATTATTTCACTCTATTAAATAATTATATCTTTTTAGAGAGTAATAAAATTAATTGTGAGAAAATATACATAAAAACAATTTTTAATTTTAGTGCAAGAAAAATTCAAGTGTCATGTCGTGCCTGTTGCAAAATGAAATAAAAGTAATCGAGACAATTTATGTACGAGGATGTAACGAGACGTTATAATTAACAACTTTTAATTGATTGTGCAAACAGCGGAATCTGTGCGAAAGCCAGGTACTTAATCGTGTGTGCGGTAAAAAACATGCGTGTCAGAGGTTATGTAAGGCGCGATTCTGATCGAATTTTTGTTGTAATGTATTCGTAAAACAGTAATTAAAATGTTAAGTGAAATCCAAGTATAACCGTTTTTCTCAGTTCAGAAGCATGGATTTATCTTTATGATGTTATCACAAAATATATTTATTACGCACATTATGACGAAAAATTACATCTTGTAAAATGAGATACGCGCATGTATAAAGCGAGAAGATATATGACTTCGTAAATTTATTTTTAGATATAGTAGCTAAAGATATTATAATAATACTATAGTAATGTAATGCTTAATTTAAAAACTAATTAGTAAATTATTTTAATTAAGACAAAAATACATATTGTAATATAATATTGGAATTAAATTATTAACTGAAATTAATAATAGAAACTATCAAAAAAAAAATATAACTTTAAAATCAATGCGTTTTAAAATCAGAATTGAAAAAAATAAAATTTTAAATTTCTGAAGAAATATATCAAAAATAATTGGACAAATATAAATACTCATTAAAATCAAGTAAAATAAAGATTTAAAATTATGAAAATAGATATTGAAATATTTCTTAAAGAGAATCAGAACGTGCCGCAAGAGACGTAATCACATCTGTTTTTTTCTGCGCGTTATATCTAAATATTTCGAAAAGATGCGGACGGTGATCTATGGTGCACCGTACGTACAGTTCCATGGATTTTATCTACGTATTTGAAGCGAGGAAAGAGAAAGAAGGAGCGAGCTTGTGAGCTTTCTATTTTTAAAGGACTGCGCTCGTGCATGCTGGTTCTTAAATTTGCTTCTCCGGAGGAAGATCCGGAGCATCCACGCATCAAATATCAAATCTTGTGAATTTCACATTCGATTATTTTTTTTTCTATAATCTAGTGTTTTCTCCTTTCATATACTAACAGACAAAAAGAGTATATTCTATCAAATTTGATTAGAAAATATATTTTATGGTTGAGATATCTTATTTTTTTATTTGTATTTATTTATATAAGATTATAAAGAACCATTTTGCATACGCGCGCGTGTTGCAACAATAAAATATATTTATTATAATTTATTTTTGCTCTGTAATTAAAAATAAACTTGGCATTTTTATCCTAAACATTATTATTATTTCTATAAATACATATAAATTTTAATTAACTAAAGCGTTCTTATAAAAGGCTACGTTAATGCTCAATATAATGTACTTCGTTTGAATATAATGAACTTTTATACAAAGATTTTAAAGATACTCACCATTTGTTGGGCGCTTTTTGGCTTTCGATTTACGTCGATCACTTTTTGATTAGCTGAAATAAAAATATGTGTCTTAATTCCTCGTTCATTTAACTGACTAATGGACACAGTGAAATGCATGCACGCGCGTATGGCACGTGACTATTGTATCCTATGCACTAATGACTTTAGTGTCGATTTATGTGTTACGGATAACTGTCCAATGCCATAAATGATCCAATACTGTTAGGTGCAAATCACGCTATCGCTCGCCGCCACTCAATCTTTTTCGCACATTTCAATTTTTATTAATAAACTGTAGCAACTCTAATATAAATTTTTTCAATTTTTTTGTATTAAATAAATTTAAATAAATAAATAAGAAAATTCTAACATTTAAGAATATAATTAATTTAAAAATCTGCAAATATGTATTTCACGAACATTTCGAATTTTGTTTCTTTTTGTAAATATTTTATTTAGTTTTATCACAAACATATTTTTATTTAGTTACATTTTAAAAAGAGAGGAGAGTATGCAAAAAATACTTACTGACAGCCTCTACTAAATCAGCTAAAAGGACACCGTCGCAGAGATCAGCCTGGAGATCGGTCACTCTTTTCTTGCAACCCCCTCGTTCCAAATAATAATTCGCCCAATCTGTATAGATCTAGAATAACCAAAAATAATCATATAATAAATAATTGTATAAAATAATATATACGCCTATATATCATAAATGTATTATATATATTCTAAGAGATATTAGTATTGTACAATATTTAAATATTAAATCTTATAAGATTGTACATGTGAGAAACACAACCAATAAGAAAATGCCTTTAACGGTCGAGCTGGATCTTAGGTGCTAATTATAATTCCGTGTGAATTGATATATTACGTATAGTCTTTTAAATCACGCGCCAAAAAATTTTTCACTCTTGCGCACAATTCCGTGCGAGAATGTAAGAGATCTGGATTCGACTCCCGGCCGAGGTAATATTTTCCGCAATAGAAATTAATTATTTACAGATTTTCATTCATTTTAATATGCCGTTCAACATTATTAAGATCCAAGAGCATCAAAATTGTTAAATTGCTAGATAATTTAACTCGTGATATTATTGCAGTAGTTTCATCGAGCTCCACCGTTAAAGGCATTTTCTTATTAGTTATTATAATATTGTATAAATAAGTAATATTTTTTTTCTCTTTAAATACAAATATACATACATAATTTCGAAGTAATTTTAATGTTTAAGTTGTTCTGTTTAGAATATTTTTTTTCAATATTATTTTTTGCATCTTAATAAAAATATTTGTGGAATGAATCAATGCGAAAAATTGCACGCGTTCTTAATTACGTCGCGTTTTATGCAATCATTGTAATTGATCGATTGACTCTTAAGATAGTAGCTCAATGAATTAAAGGCGACCATAAGAAAAAGAGAAAGAAAAAAGACAGAGAGAGAGAGAGAGAGAGAGAGGAATGAATAACGAATAGCTTGTAGACAGCAAACATCGTGAGGAGAGAACTCTAATAGTCGATCGATCGATCGATTATTATTTCTTCGTCCCGCATAAGGTGATTATTTGTTCATCGCTCGTTTCAGCTCTACGGACATTTGTGTTAACAAAAATGACAAATAACTTCAATTCTTCGCAGACTTCGTTACTTTTCTGTGTTGAAAATTTATTGAAAATTTTTTAATAAAAAGGAAATTACTTACATTTTATTATATTAAAAATAAATATAAAATAAATAATTTTACTTTCTTATGTATTTATTTATCTGTCTTCCTAAATATTATATATTTAGAATAATTTTGGAAAATTTCTGATAATATTGTTGTAGGCGCCAATCAAACCTGATCAAATTGATCTCGCGCGCGCGTGTTACTGCAGAAAATGGGAAAAATAAAGAATGCTAATTAGCGCAATAAAGAAATCTTTTCACCTCAAAAAATATATTCGTTGCTTCTTTGACATATCAAATTATACTTGTATTCAACAAGTATGTACTTTACAATTTATTATTCTGTAAATGTTTATTCTTTGTGCCATAAAATACGTGTGAGGAAAAATAGCAAATAATACTGATAAAAGAAAATAATATATTGTATAAATTTTACTTAAAAATTCCAATAGATATATAAGATAATAAATAAAATTAAAAAATTAGCAAAAATATCTTTAGAGAGCTTTACGTATGAAATAAGAAAATTACACGCGCGCGCATCGTACATAGCCATTTCATAGCGAGTGAATGAATTAAACTTTAAAGTATGGAGAAATGCATTAACGAGCACTTACGGACAAAGTGCACTTCGAAAGTCTATCACGTTACTGTTGTAATCCTGTGATTTAATTTATCTTATTAGTATGTCGAACGCAGTTAATTTGTTGCCCAGATAGAGTCATTCTCCTTGTTAACGCAATATACATATATAATATTATATTGCAATCCAAGTTTTCCGCCAATTATGCGACGAAGCTTTATCATAACATCGTGAATTCAAGTCGCACCTCTAATTAGAACATATATAAATCTCGGTTATTGCATCACTCTAATTATGTTATAAATCGTATCAATTACATGGCAAATTTTCGATCACCATACAGAATTTCAATTAGTGTGTCGTTGATGACATCGCTAGTTTCGATAGTCCTGAGGACGCCTATTCGCATAATGCGCGACAGGTGCCCGGCGTGTGTCGACGAAATTGAATGCATTTGCAGCTGACCGCGAAGCTCCGCAAACTCTCTTTTTCTGTCGTTTTCTCTTTCGACTAAAACAGCACGACGCGCGACGCATCCATTTGCATTTTCATCATACGCGGCGACCTATACGTCATGTGGGTGTTATCTCCCGCTGATTGCAACCTCGTGCAAGTGTACACTTACGTTTATTAACACGCAACTCTTCTTCCTTCTCTTACTCTTTTTCTCTCTTTTTTTTACTTGATATTTTATTGCGTCGCAGGTGCTTGACTGTCACTACTTTGTCATCGTGCATGTTTCACATTTATTTGTCGGATATTGAAACGGAAAAATTCTTGGATAATTTGTAAACGTCAAATGAGAGAGAGAAAGGTATGTGTCGCCAAATCGATATTACTCAGATGTTTACTTTTTATCAAGTGTAAATTTCAAATTTTGTATATTCGCGCTGTTAATTATTTCACAAGATTTTTCACTGTGAATTTTTATATTGGCATAGAAACAATCTATTTTTTTATTCTACTAGTAAAGAGTATTGTATAACTGCGCGTAGTTTTTATTTTTCCATCTAAAATATTTTGTAATTTTTCATAAAATTATAAAAATTTATATAAATTTTATATAAAAATTTATGTTTATATTTTATTTTCCTTATTATAGCTTTATACGTCATGACAATTATTTTTCTTGTTTACATCAACATAACACACTTTTACCTATTTGTAATATTATAATCTATGCAATACTTTTTCAATTTAGATATATGTAAAAACAATTGATAATATTTCTCAAGACAATTTTATTGTCTTCTATTGATATCTATTAATTTTTTGATATGTTTATATCTATACTATAAGCGAGCATCGAGGATATAAATCACGCGCGGAAGCATGAATTGTCCTGACGCGTTTACCGCGCTGGCGAAGCGCCAGGCTTTTCAGCGTGAGCGAGCGAGCAGCTCTCGAGTCACCGAAGAGCCGCCGCACAGCTCTGGACGATGGAAAGCGCAAGGGGACACAAACTTGGTTGTCGTACAGACGAGAGAGGAAGAGGAGAACAGAGGAGCAGCCACGCAGAGAGTGAGCAGAGAAGAGAGTTAGTCATCGCGTACTATTTTTGAGCGCGCAAAGAGACGAGCGGTACGAAGGGACGCGCGGAGAGTTTTGCTTCATGATCTCAGGTCGCCATTATTACGGCAGTCGTGATGGGGTCGCCGATTCTTTTCCCACTTTTCCGATAGAATCTCTGGGTTTTCCCGGAGTATTTTAGTAGAGAGAGAAAAATGATGCCCCCCCCCCCCCCCCCCCTCTCTTTCTCTCTCACTGCTGAAGCAAGATCGAGCGAAACATATGTATTAAAGAGACTCATTGAGACAAAAGCCAAGATGTCTATAGTATTTGTAATTTTGGCATAATATAAAATAGATTATTGTTTGAAACTGTTAAAAATGTTAATGTTATTTAAAAAATAATGATTTAATTATATTCTTAAGTATTAAAAAAAAATTGCAAAATATAAGATATCTAAAATACCATTTATAAGATATTCATCACTCAAGATGTTTGTGATAAATGAATTTTTTTACGGAACATACAATATAAACGCTTATGGATTTATTATATCTTCAATGGTTGGCAAAACGATTGTTTCACACACAATTGTCTTGTTTTATTTATTCTGAATCTATTTTTAATATGTTTAAATACATTTAATTGTTTTAACTGCTTTTCTACTATATCAAAAATAGTGGTAATAATATAATAAATTTGTGTGTAAAGAGATGTCGATAGATTTGCAAAGCAGTTATAAACATATTTGACATCTCTCGACGAAAAAGATACGAGTCGAAGAAAAGAATTACCTGCACAACATTACGTGTGGACTCGGCCTTGATGTCGTCGATAGAACCGCGCACGGATCTTGGCGCCCTGATACACGCCATGATGCCGCCGGTGGTCGTCGCGACCCCCGTGACGTCCTAGCGTCATCCGAGTCTGCCCTCCCGATTATTCCTCACGACAAATTACATCTTTACCATGCACTTTCCATTCGATCATCATGCGATAATGCATAATTGCAATCGCACTATAATTAAAATCGATTCTTTATCTTTCACTTTTGCCCTCAATCTTTTTTTTCAATTCACAATCGTATATACAATAATTTTTTATTTATTATGATGGTCTTTTTTTCTATGGGATTTAAGTTAAGAAACATTATGTCGATGTAATAATATAATATTGAGTCTTGTGTAACAAGATCGATATTTGAACAAATCGATATTAGTTTCGCTTATATTAATTCTGTTAAGAGAGATCATTTTACTGGAATCCATTCTTATATATATTCTTTGACATACATTTTCTGTTAGTACAGTCATGCTTCTTTATATTTTTCTTCCATAAGATCACATAAGACCATCATGCACTGACACATAAAATAATCGATACAAAATAAAGTGCAAAAAAAATCAACAAGATTCTTGATGAATAAATAAAAACATCCTCACTAATCTTTTCATTAATCCTCAATTCATCTAATAAAATTAATAAATTGTTGAGGCAATTCGTGCCTGGATCCCTGCGCGGCTCTTCATTCTCACAATCTTCTTTCAAGCGTCGAAAGCGGTGGGAGGGCCGGCCGAGGGAGAAGAAAAGAAAGAGGAGGAAGAGGAGAAAACTTAATCAATCGTTCAATTGTTTAATTCGCGAGTAAATCACCCTCGTTTTCCAAAATGATCTAGCGATACATTGCGTCGTATTCCATCACTGTGCTTCGCAAGACAAAACGCGGAAGCGTCCCGACGCTTCGACGCACCGGACGTAACTGAATACGCGAGCAGTGAGCACACGTTTCTCTATTCGTAGGTATATACTCTCTCGTGCGCCTTCTCCTTCTTCATCTCCTCCCACCTCATCTCTTTCTTCTTATCTTCGTCTTTCCCCGATTTTACCACTTCCCTTCTCTCTCTCTCTCTCTCTCTCTCTCTCTCTCTCTCT